CACTTTTTCATTTTGGGGATGACTTTTCTTGGGGACATGCTGTATGCATGATCTTGTATATCTGGATGATCAGAGTGCGAAAAACATCAATTGCGAAAAACATCAATTGCCCTATAGTGACTCTATGTTTTTTGCCGGTTCCCACGCCATCTTGGATTTATCATGGATGTCACGCAATATGGCGGCTCGTCAGCAATCTAGTCCTACTATATCTATGGTTATAGCAAACCCATTGAGTTCTATAATAACTGCTAACTTTACTGGGGCGAGGACGCCAAAAAAATGGCGGCCAAAGGACGTATTTCCGCTGAAATGATCGCTTTGCAGAAAAATAATATTCTCGACCTCCCCCTGGTGTCTATAGTAAATTAGAAAGAATTTTTCAAAAACAAACACGATATCACAGAATATGGATATCGTTAGTTCCATATTCTGTGACGATTCTTTTTTGGCATTTCTTTTATAATGTCAACACTTCAATCGTTCATTTGTTGATGTCTTAGTTTCCACAAAAAGGAACATATCGCTTTTGACAGGTGAGGTAGTTGTTTGTTTTGTTAGTCCGTCAACGATTGAAAAGCAATTATACATGCACTTGAAAAGCCATAAAGTACATATTAAAGATCGTATTTTTTAAGACTGACTTGAACGCCAAATATACTGATGTTTTCCTGTTTTTGTTTATAAAATTCTGTATAGTTTTCTGTCATTTGTTAATGGATGAAATCGTAAATTTACCCACTTATTTGCAAAATAGTTTCCCTAAAGCAAAAAAGACCCTGCACACATTTTGCTCTGTGATTAAGTATCAAAAAAGGTTTAATCAGCCCCAATGGTACCCATGATTTGGAGCAGAGCTTGTTATGTTCTATTTGCTGACAACATGCAGGGAAGATCAAGGAGTAAAGATGACTGGAAGATGTTATTGACCTGGCAGAGTCTTAAAAAATGATAATGCTGTAAAGATAATTGATTTATTGTCCGCCCTATCCAGAGTTATTTAATTTGATCGTGGTCAAATTCTATGGATGGAGACAATGGATTCACTAAGGATGGCTTGAATGCTTTGAAGTTAAAGTTCATGATCCAAAGAAAGATGGCAAGAAGGTTGTGTGTGTTTTGATGCTTAATGAAATGTCAATTACAAACATGTAAAATGGAAGGCCATAAAGTTTGTGTCTATGTAAACATTTTTACTGAGATTGATGATGACTCGATGAAGATGTGAAGCTTCAAACTGTATAAGCCCTTGGGTTTTATGTAACTTAATGTTTAAATCATGTCATATCTTTATCAAAATATTTTAGTTGAGTGTTGTTTGAATGTTACTAATATCTAATGCACTATACTGAAGCATTAAAGATTCAGTGATGAAACCTTTAAAGTTACTGTACTGTATATTTCTTATATATTTCTTATATTTCTTTAAGAAAAATTTGAGCTTATTTACCTATTAGAGTACAGAATGGAGATTTATCATATGCATTATTGCTGCTTTTTAAAGAAAAGTTTTTCACTTTTCAAAGCTTTTCTAAAAATTTTTTGCTTCTTATTTCTTATCATGAAATTGATGATATAGAGGTAATATAATACAATAATATTCTAATTTCTAAAAAGCTTTTAAGCTTCTAGCATAAAAGTACACTATAGTTATTTAATTCATTTGGTTTTATTGCCTTGCTATGACATATCTACTTGCACTTCATCATTCTTGTATGAACAAAACACCAGATGTGGATACTCAGAGAACAAAATGCACTACCATCTGCTTATGAAATTTATTATTGAGGTGAAAACTGTGTTAATCATTCAGATTATAGTGCACTTTTATTGCAAATATAGGAAAAACAAAACAAAGTGAAAAAGAAAGGTAGAAGTATTAAAACTACAAATGAATTATAAACACCATTGGAAGCATAAGTGTTTTGATGATTATTTGCATTTTGCCCGATTCATATATCAATACCACAAAATCAAAATGTGCTACAACTTTACAAATATTTGATGCAGTTGCACTTCAGAACATCACAAAAAGGTTACTTATAGTAATTTCTATACAATATTGTTTGTTTTCATTTACCTAACCTATGCAGACTTGAGTCTTTTTACAATTTCATATGAAACTCAATTACAGATAATCCGTAAATATCCAGAGATTTAATATGTACTTTTTTAAAGAAACAAGTAAAAATCCTACAATTGTGACGAAAAAAGCCATTGCATGAAAAGAAGCGAAATAGCAATGATAACAAATAAGCTAACTTCTCTCGTGAACCGTGGAGATGAACTATGATATACATTTTTTGTATAGACTAAAGAGTTTAATCGATCAAACAAGTTTGACGCTGGTAAGAAAACGACGCACATCTGCATTCATACATGTGTAGCCGACATATCGGTCTTTCGTCGATAGTTATAAATGCATCCTCGTAGGAGCAGATAACTGACAACCACAGTTCACTCGCTGTTATGAATTTAAGGTTTTTACCTTCATTTTCATCAAAAAATTGCTTGCCGAATCCCAAATACATACATACATTTTCCTCACTCTTTCCTCAGGAGGGAGTGGGAAATTGTGAAATTTTCGAAAAAGCGGTCAATTTCGGTAAATCTCAGCGGCAAAGGACGAAATCCGCCATTCATCAGATATCTAAGGCCGCGCTTGAGATAGCCGCTCTAGTTATTATATAACTCAATAGCCTGGACCCCGTGGTCAAAAACATGGCGGTAATGGCGGATTTTGGTTGTCAAAACTTCCACTTTGAGAAAAATTTTTAACATTCGCTCCCTCCCGAATCCGGAACTCTATTACTGCTTATATCAATGACAACCAGCGAAAACAACCACGATACCGTAAGCACAAAATATTGAAAATAATGCTTCAGGTTTTTGTGAAATAGACACACACATTTAAATGAGGTAAATCTACTGTAAAATAACGTATATTTGTCAAGTAATGCTTTAGCTATGTTAGAAATAAATATCAAACGGCATTCTTTACACTATCAATGTGTCGTTAAGCTTTAATGCATAATACCATACGCAATACTTGTGTTTTTGACTATTTGTTAACAGCTTCGTGCAACGGTCTTTCTTGAATAAATGGGTAAATCTTAGTTAAAATGTCCAAAAAGGAGTTAGAAAAAGTTAGCTTACCCTACGACTTAAGTCTACTGGAAATATATTATAAGTAGGTATGTATTTTTTTGATATTTTTGGTAGGATTGATTCTGGGTGTCTTATAAGGTATTATGATATTCTGATAAATCTACTGAGAACTTATGAAGAAAATATCTTGAACTAGGAGAGCAAAAGAACGAAATTCAGAAATTCTATAATCATGTTGCTGGTTCTGTTTTGAGCCAAGATATTAGAAACTGGATTGTCATTGACAACCATGGATCTACTACTGAACAGAACTACATTAATTTCCCATTGAAAATACGATTTCTTAAATTAAAGTGCATTGGTTTCTCTGACATAACACTTTTCTTATTGCTGCATGAAGGCAAACCTGTTTAAATAATTATAATGTAGGTGAAGATATTTAGCATGTTGTATAATTGTTATTATACAGACATTATTTATAATATTATGGCCTTGTGTAATGTATGTCAAGAACTTATTAATTCTCAAAATGCTAACCTTCTTGCACTACTTTCTCTTGTGTCCTTACAAATTACAGTTACCTATACTAATTTTTCTAGGTTCAAACAACTTGACAAATTTTTGAATTTTACATTATGCCTTTGAATTTTTCTTTTTGTCTTTTGGTAAAATATCAGTAAATGACTTAAAATAAAGTTTATCTAAAATAGTATTTTGTACAAAGTAACTATACATAATTGGAAAAGTCTCATGTTGAAGGAAGATGTGGCTTCTTTTACTAGATTGCTACTCTTATTCTTTTAAATGATATCGTAATTCTTCAAAAGACATAAAAAGTTCTTTGTCATCAATTTTTGCTTCTTCCACATTCAACTTCATTGCAACCAATGCATCTTACGTGAATTTTTAATCACCTGGAATTGAAAAACATATGGACTTTGTCAGATGATGCAGTACTGTATTTAATGTTTCATGCATGTCATGATAAGCTTTTCTTGAACAAATATTTCAAGGTAGGAGCAAAATTTGGCACATTATTGAACAAAGTAGTTTTTATCTTGATTTTGATGTACTAACCTGTTTACTACACTGTGTAACAAACAATTCATTTACAGAAACACAAGATGGCATTTATGAAACTTTTAGCATAAAGCAAACCTTTACACACCATCATCATGATTGTCCATAATCTGTCAAATTGTCCAGGCTAGCTGTTTAATACTGGTATTTTTTATTGTACGACATGTACCAAAGAGCTCATTAATTAATCCTGCACTGCATTTGATTTCAATACAGCTCTGTCCTTAATATTTGCTTCATATTTTCAGAAAAATATCATGAAAAATCCACCATTTCAACTCAGTTGAAACAAGGAGTTTTAAGATATGCATATCTCGAGAAGAACTGGTTGCTTTGCCTCGTCTAGCAAGCGATTAAGTAAAGAACAAATAAGAATGGATAAACATAACTTAAATTACAACTTAGGAGTAAAAACATTCACAAAATATATACCATCACACTTCAAGTATTGACTTAAAACAAAACACTGAACACTTTAAATGGTAAACAATCTTACGTTGCTTACCGGTATCATGAAATGTTTCCTTTTCTGGCATTACTTCAGCATCCGTCTACCAAACAAGTTTGCAGCATGTTTTAAAGATAAAATTTCTAAAAGTTTTTGTGCTTGGCATTGATATTTTATATAATCGCTATTGTGGTTGTCAAATCCGGGTGGGCGAAAAAAAATTTCATTTTATGAGCCCGCGTCTTTCCGCTGACTTTGACAACCAAAATCCGCCATGTTTTTCACCACGCGGCCGTGCGCTAATAATTTATAGTAATTCGGTTGACATTTCCCCTTCAGGTCTTATAGAACTCAATGGTATATATCTATTCTGTGGTGTTGTCAAAAATGGATAGCAGTGGTGGGATGGGGATCAAAAATATTCCTACATCTCGTTATCACCAATTATCCCACAGTATTTCTTTCTCATAATCAATGTTCACAATATTATCTTTTCAACATGGCGACTTCAGTAGAAATTCCTTTAAGAGATACTGACGAAGTAAGTTATCACTTGTTGATGGAATTCTCATACTTATATTATTTAACTGGTGTATTTTATAATATGAACAGTAAATTTGCTAGTCTTTGGTACATGCTACATGAAACATTTTTTAAATTCTTCTCAACTTCTCTCAACTCAACTTCTCAACTGTCTATCACTAATGCTTTATAAAGAACCTGATGTTTTATAAATAAATATAATTCTTACGTAATTACGGAGAGAAGCAGAGAGTTTTTTTATTTACTAACAATTTTAGTCGTGGTTTGTGCAGTAGCACGGTATAAAATAACAAATACGAATAGAAATGATTTTGATTTGTATTTTTGAAACATGTTCTTGTTCGAATTCGTACTCAGAGAATTGTCGTTATGCTGTATTTTTGTTTACCTATATGCGAGAAGCATAAGTGTTAACGTTTGAGTAGTTTTCTAGACTTTTTTACAAATGTTATGAATTCAAAAAGGGAGCTATTGTGGAGACAACCTGCTGCTGGGTTTATATGGGTGGATTAGATTTTTAAAGACAATTGTGCAATGTTTCACAAGTGTGTGAATGTAACCTCTAATCAAAATGCAACTTTAAATTTGGCTATTCCCAAATTATAAGGATAGATCCTTGATTGTTTTATAAGGAAATGGTATTGTAGTTTGGTGGTTTCTAGTTGTCATACCATGTCAGAAATTTTTGAAAGTTTTATCCATTGAAACATTATTCAAAATTGCTTTTTCTAATTGGGAATTGGCACTTTTTTTCTCTCCCCTAAATCTAATTTTGCTTAGTTGCATAATGTACATGTTGTATGTATTTTTAATTGTGGGTTGGGTTTAACTATGTCAATATTATGATTGAGTGTGGGCTTATTAACATTAGACATCTTTGATCCATAGAGTGGTCTAGATATTCAAAGGATCTCTGAATGATATATTGGTGTTTTTCAAGATACAACGCATCTAAATGATAATTTTTCATTAGGTGATAGAATTACAATTTGATCAGTTACCAGAAGGCGATGAAGTTTTGAATATATTAAAACAAGAAAATGCTCAGTTGAAAATATGGAATGTTCTTGCAGTAAGAACTTTTGCGTGTTTTTTTTAATGTTTCTAGTTTTCTTTTTGGGCATATTACATGTGTGTTACATGCTTGTTTCATGTGTGTTACATGTGTGTTACTTATTTGTTACAAGCATGTTAAAGGTGTGTTACAATGCTTTTTATGTAAAGTGTATCTGTAATAATTTTCTGTTTAGATCCAGTATTTCAAAGAAGGCAGAACAAGTGATTTTGTTCAGTTGTTGGAAGCAGCTAAGACAGGTTATTTTTCTTAGTTGGAATAGATAATATAAGTTACGGTGAAGTTAGAGATTGTTTAATTTGAAGAGCTCATTAAACATTGATCAAATAAGTTTCAACCAAATTATGATTTGTGTAAACACAAATTTTTATATGTTGAAGTATGTCACAATTAAGTTGGCTTTTCAGAAATCACAATAATTTTTTTCTAAACTTTAACAAAAAACACAATGTAAAATTATTGATTCTTAAACTAGTATTAGACTAAGAAGATTAAAAATTTTGCATTTTAACTAAAGTTACTGCTGCAGGTTGTATACCAAAAAATATCTTGTATGTATGTTTGGTTTTATTTTTATCTTGTTTTTGCTCCAACCATGATTATATTGAGCTGTTTAAAAATAATACACATTACACAATCTATACAATATATTTCATCTGTAGTTTCAATTTCCAACTATAAATGTTGTCAAAATCTATAGTTTGTGTCCATATGAAAGTATTATTGTCCAATAGGATTGTTACCAAATGATTTTTATTTTGATAATGGTCCATACTGTAATGATTTGTCTTGCATTCTTTACTCACAGAAGGAAACATCAATTACACAAACAGTGATCGTGACAGAATGATATGTTTGGACACATGCATATTATGCATATTAAGAAAAAAAGAAAAAATAAAGAAAAGAAGAAGGAAATGTTTACTAAGGTTAAACTCTTTGAAACATTAAAGAATATTCATTCTTTATATTTCTTGGACTTTTGTATTTTTCTTTTGTCAAATATTTTTCATAATTTATTTTTTATTTTCAACAGGCAACACAACTTTTCACTTCTGCTGACAAAATTATTATGTATGATCAGGTATGAATGGCATTTCTCCCATCACATATGTGACATTCACAATGCATTTGATGCTATTTTTATTCTTGCCTCCAAGCATATGCAAGACCTTACAAAGTTGCTGAAGTTTACGTACAATATTTTATAATGTTTATAGAGTAAACTATCAGTTTTAACAAAATGATTTCATCTTGGAATTATAAATGTCTATTAATGTTTTGTAATCTCAGGGTCGAGTCCCTTACAAGCAGTATACCTTAATATGATGTTTGGATTTCTAATTAGAAAGAGCAGAAAAATGAAGATGTGTTTGGTTTAATGAGAAAGATTGCTTTAAAAAGGATTTTATGAGTATAAACTCATTCTTTAGTGGGCTGCTTAATTGAATGCCATCTCCCTCTTGGAGCATAAGTTTGTATTAGAGTTTGTGTTAGACATCCATCTCTAATAGATGCCCACATATTGCTGTTATAATAATATTATAGTGGTTACTTATAGTGGCCAAGAAATCATGTATTCAATGACCCTAGAATTGTTAGATTTTGTTTATAATGCCCCAGTGCATCTATTAGATGATTTACGGTACATAAATTTAATTAATGCTTGCTGATAAAGTCATGTTTATAAAGAAGTTGTTTGTAAGTTGTTAAAGAATGATGTCTGTGATTGTGTTTTAATGTAAAGTAGAGTATTAGAGTATAGTACTTGTATTTGAATTTTAACAATGTAAATGCATTACTATGACAGTAGCCAAAGCCGTAAAATATTTTATGACTTTTGCAAACCATATTTTATTATCGTTGAAAACAACATATTTCTGTTTTAGAAACATCTTCTTGGTCGGGCATATTTTTGTTTGTTAGAAGGAGATAAAATAGATCAAGCTGACGCACAGTTTAATTTTGTTTTAGCTCAGGTAAGTTTGACAACTTTCAGCTTTTCTTGTCTAAAGCATTTGAAAATAATGAAATATCATAAAAAATAATACAAATTGAAAACTCATTTTATCCAAATTTTAGAACGTGATTTTACGAATAAAATTTTAAAACCAATTACCGTTGTTTCGTAAAATAAGCGCATGCGTTAGGTTAACTTTACTGAATTATATTTAAACAATATTTGAATCAAATGATTATGATTTTATGGTAAATACATGTAATATAAAAATTTGATAATTTAGAACTGTGATTTTTTTAATGTTTTGAGGCTTAAAGTTGGAAATTTCGACCATTTTTCGCCCAACTAATTTGTCAGTTTTGGAAGTCGTCTGTGTATTTTATTACGAGATAGATTTTACTGGACATCTACGATACAAGATGTTGCAAAGGTGTAAAATAATACGTACAGTGTGACCATATGTTCGTTAGCAAGTTTTACTAAACCTTTGATCAAATTTTACTAAATGGGCCAAAATTTTACTAGGTTATGATTTCTCGCGCTTTACCCCCGATTTTATGTAGCATGGGAGAATGGTTACCCCTGAGAATGCTTGAAACATAAAACTTGAATGAACATGTTGGTTGCAAACTGTTTTACAAGGATTACATTTGATTTTGCTGGCTAAATTATCATCATAGTCTGAATACCAAGTTTTCTAATCCTCGTCAAACTCTCTTATAGGAACTATCCCAAAATCTTGAATTTCGAAAAATTGTACCAAAAAATTACTAAACATTTTTGTACTAGACTTCTATCAAGTTTGTCAAAATTTTACCAAGAGTAAAAAGATAAACAGAGTATAATCACATTCCATACGTATGTTTGCTAAAAACGACTTTGGCTGCAGAAAAATTACAAAAATAAATCCTGGATTTATCAATATATTGCAAATGTGTTTTAAAATATTATATACTATGTAAAGGCCCATAGTTTGCAAAAGACTCTTTTGTACTTTTTATATTTCTTTGATTTGTTTTTAGTCTGGCAACAATATTCCAGCGTTGTTGGGTAAGGAAATTTACACGTTTTCTGTACATATTCGTTTTATCTCCATGAAACTTTTATTGTCGTTTTCCTTTAGGAAAGGCTTGTATTTCGTTTAATAAAAAAGATTATAAAGGAGCGTTAGCATATTATAAAAAAGCGTTGAGAACAAATTCTAACTGTCCAGGTATTTCTCCTTATATTACATTTTGACTTTTAAGTTTTTGGGGTCAACCCCCCTGTTCATCGAACGATGGGTTTGATGCATCAAACATTTGTATTGTTATGCATGGGGACAACCCTGTTCATCGAACGATGGGTTTGATGCATCAAGCATTTGTATTGTTATATATGGGGACAACCCCCCTGTTCATCGAACGATGGGTTTGATGCATCAAGCATTTGTATTGTTATGCATGGGGACAACCCCGTGTTCATCGAACGATGTGTTTGATGCATCAAACATTTGTATTGTTATACATAGGGACAACCCCCCTGTTCATCGAACGATGGGTTTGATGCATCAAACATTTGTATTGTTATGCATGGGGACAACCCCCCTGTTCATCGAACGATGGGTTTGATGCATCAAACATTTGTATTGTTATGCATGGGGACAACCCCCCTGTTCATCGAACGATGGGTTTGATGCATCAAACATTTGTATTGTTATGCATGGCATTAATTAGTTTATTTTCTTTTTGGTTTTAAAATTAAATTGTAACGCTGAATAACTTTTTCATGTTCACATTACTTTTAAGTTTTATTTAGAAATTTAAATGTTATTTCTGATAATCTTATACATATATACTTTATAGCTGCTGTCCGTCTTGGTATGGGTCATTGTTTTGCAAAACTTGGAAAACATGAAAAGCAAAGCTTGCATTTGAAAGAGCCTTACAACTCGATCCATATTGTACTGGAGCGATGGTTGGTCTTGCTATTATGGAACTGAGCTCAAAAAAAGTGAGATAATCATTTGGACATAAATTTTACTCATTTATTAGCTTTGCGTATTGTCTTAGACTTGCCAGAGGTATGAATTAAATCTTGTATAAATTAGCGTGTTGTTTTAACCATCTTGCTATGTTTTTATAAATACTTTTCTAATTTCTAGAGAAACAAAATGTTTCTTATTAAATTCAAAAAACACATTTATGTTTGCCAAACTTCTCCCAAATGGTTCATGTTTGCCAACTTTATATTTAGCCTGATGCCATCAAAACTGGTGTTCAATTGCTTTCTAAAGCCTACTCAATTGACAACTCCAATCCAATGGTTTTGAATCACTTGTCAAACCATTTCTTTTTTAAAAAGGTTTGTGTTTTCAATTTTTTATTTAGTAGACGATGACTTTTAACGAATACTATCATTAGAAGAAGCCGTCTCTCTTCTCTTGTTATTTTCATTAGTTTTTCCTGGTCTCTTGTGAAATCTGACCTAAATTCTCATGAGAAATCATACTTATCTTTTGTCTTATTACCAGGATTACACAAAAGTTCAGCATCTTGCTTTACATGCTTTTCATGGTACTGAGGTTGAGTCAATGCAAGCAGAAAGCTGTTATCAAATGGCAAGAGCTTTTCATTCTCAGGTATTAAATATAAATAAACCATAAGTATTTATGAATGTATAAAGATAGTTTAACAATTGACCACTGTTTTTCGTTTATACTTTTGATTATTTAGAACGACTACGATCAGGCTTTTCAATATTATTACCAAGCCACACAGTTTGCTTCTGCTGGATTTATCTTGCCATATTTTGGACTAGGACAAATGTACATAGCTCGTGGGGATAGAAACAACGTATGACGTTCGAATGCGTATTTCTTGATAACCTAACACTTTAACCTTAACTGACTTGTTCAACATTATGAATTAATAACCACTAGCTGCAATTTTCAATTATGAATTGGTTTTAATTTGTTTCGGTAGATTGTACTTAAAGTGCTTTCTGACGATTTTTGATTATCTTTTTATCTGCGCTTCGATAACGAATTGTGTATTTATTAAGTTATATTTTATTTGATCGTCGTTTTGTCTCTTGTTATGTTTTGTTTGTTCTTTATTTCTCTTTTCGTTTATTAAGGCTGCGCAATGTTTTGAAAAAGTTTTAAAAATGATGCCTGGTAACTATGAAACCATGAAAATCTTGGGCTCCCTCTACAGTAGCTCTGATGACATGGAAAAGAAGGAGACGGCAAAAGTAAAATATTCCATTTAAAATTTTGTAAGGAATCTAGGGATCACTCATTTCAATTGTAGGGAATCTAGGGATCACTCATTTCAATTGTAGGGAATCTGGATCACTCATTTCAATGGTGGGAATCTAGGGATCACTCATTTCAATTGTAGAGAATCTAGGGTCACTAATTTCAATTGTAGGAATCTAGGGATCACTCATTTCAATTGTAGGAATCTAGGGATCACTCATTTCAATTGTAGGAATCTAGGGATCACTCATTTCAATTGTAGAGAATCTAGGGATCACTCATTTCAATTGTAGGAATCTAGGGATCACTCATTTCAGTTGTAGGAATCTAGGGATCACTCATTTCAATTGTAGGAATCTAGGGATCACTCATTTCAATTGTAGTGAATCTAGGATCACTCATTTCAATTGTTGGGATCTAGGATCACTCATTTCAATTGCAGGAATCTAGCGATCACTCATTTCAGTTGTAAAGAATCTAGGATCACTCATTTCAATTGTAGGAATCTAGGGATCACTCATTTCAATTGTAGGAATCTAGGATCACTCATTTCAATTGTAGAGAATCTAGGATCACTCATTTCAATTGTAGGGAATCTAGGGATCACTCATTTCAATTGTAGTGAATCTAGGGATCACACATTTCAATTGTTGGGATCTAGGGATCACTCATTTCAATTGTAGGGAATCTAGCGATCACTCATTTCAGTTGTAGAGAATCTAGGGATCACTCATTTCAATTGTAGGAATCTAGGGATCACTCATTTCAATTGTAGGGAATCTAGGGATCACTCATTTTAATTGTAGAGAATCTAGGGATCACTCATTTCAATTGCAGAGAATCTAGGGATTATTAATTTTAATTTGCTTTAATTATGATGTGAATTATTTAGAGTCATTTGAAAAAAGTAACTGAACAATACCCGGATGATGTTGAAGCTTGGATAGAATTGGCTGGAAGTCTTGAACAGACCGATGTACAATCAGCATTGTCTGCTTATGGTACGGCTTCCCGTTTACTTAAAGAAAAGGTTGGAGCTGATGTTCCCCCGGAAATTTTAAATAATGTTGGTGCATTACATTTTCGATTGGGAAATCTTAACGAAGCTAAGGTAAAATTTTCTGTAGTAAACCAACTTTTTCATAGCTATAACAATAAATGTTTAATAAATATTATATCAATACTATTTAGAAATTTTACGAAGCATCATTGAAACGAGCAAAAACTGAAGGCGATAATGATGAAAGTTATTACAATGCAATATCAGTAACGACAAATTACAATCTAGCAAGATTGCATGAAGCAACTTCAGAATTTGATCTTGCCGATAAATTATACAAAAATATTCTTCGAGAACATCCGAACTATGTTGAATGTATGTGTTTATTCTATAATTGACATTTCTCGTCCGTGAAATTTATAGAATTCCTACATGGTTTACCGCAAATCTAACTTATGTTTTGCTTTTGCACATTGCGTCATGTTTAATTTGTATTCAATACGTCATCATTTCTAATGTCAATTATGTCATCTTTTATTTTGCAGGTTACCTCCGTTTGGGTTGCATGGCACGAGATCGAGGTCAGATTTATGAAGCGTCTGATTGGTTCAAAGAAGCATTGCAGATCAATCAAGTACTTCATATAAATTTTAGTATTGCTAAAGTTGATGTTTATGTGTCTTTGCAAACTGCATGTGTTATAAAATGTAAGGATCTGCTGAATTTGATTGTTTATTTACTATTTAAGGATCACCCTGACGCTTGGTCCCTGATTGGCAATCTTCATCTTGCTAAACAAGAATGGGGACCTGGACAAAAAAAGTTTGAAAGAATCTTGAAACAGGCTTGCACAGAAAAAGATTCGTATTCCTTGCTTGCTCTTGGTAATGTGTGGTTGCAAACGTTACATCAACCTACAAAAGATAAGTCAAAAGAAAAACGCCATCAAGATAGAGCACTCTCCTTGTATAAAGAAGTTTTACGACAAGATGCCAGAAACCTTTATGCTGCTAACGGAATAGGTAAGTAGCGTTGTATGAATTGGTGTTATTTACATGGTCACGACATACAGTAGATGGTCACGACATACAGTAGATGGTCACCTCATACAGTAGATGGTCACGACATACAGTAGATGGTCACGACGTACAGTATAATGGTTATGACATACAGTAGATGGTTATGACATACAGTAGATGGTTATGACATACAGTAGATGGTCACCTCATACAGTAGATGGTCACGACATACAGTAGATGGTCACGACATACAGTAGATGGTTATGACATACAGTAGATGGTTATGACATACAGTAGATGGTCACGACATACAGTGCATGGTCACGACATACAGTAGATGGTTATGACATACAGTAGATGGTCACGACATACAGTAGAAGGTCACGACATACAGTACATGGTTATGACATACAGTACATGGTTATGACATACAGTAGATGGTTATGACATGCAGTAGATGGTCACGACATACAGTAGATGGTTATGACATACAGTACATGGTTATGACATACAGTAGATTGTTATGACATACAGTACATGGTTATGACATACAGTAGATGGTCACCTCATACAGTAGATGGTCACGACATACAGTAGATGGTCACGACATACAGTAGATGGTTATGACATACAGTAGATGGTTATGACATACAGTAGATGGTCACAACATACAGTAGATGGTCACGACATACAGTAGATTGTCGTAAATGGTCATGAGATAAAATTGGACAAAAGTAAAGCTATGGGGATTGAACAAAAGGTGGACTATGTTCTGGAAGATGTAGGGGTTTAAAGGCAAAGAGTTGGCTATATATGCCGTGTTTTCATTTTTCAAATTTTTCAATCTTTTGTAGGTTGTATTTTAGCTCATAAAGGATTTCAAAGAGAAGCCAGAGATATTTTTTCGCAGGTAAATACTGAAACAAGACTTAAACATTTTAGCATTCAGTAAATGCTGATTTTGTTTTTTTTTTAGGTTCGTGAAGCTACTGCTGATGTAGGTGATGTTTGGTTGAATCTCGCTCATAGTTATGTGGAACAAAAACAATACGTGGCTGCTATACAGATGGTCAGTGAATGTATCATGTAAAATAATCTACGTAATACTTCAATAAAGCAGGTCTTGTAATTTTTCAAAGTAACAGTTCACCTTCAGGTGTTGTTTAACTTATATTTTACCAAATAAACCTTTTCTCTCGTACAATCAAAATTAGTACGATCATTTTAGCTCTTTTAGCTCATTTTTGAATTCATGTTAATCATTTGTTTTTGTTTTATTTTCAGTATTTTAATGGTGACTTTATTTCTGACTCTTTTAGCTCATTTTGAATTCATGTTAATCATTTGTTTTGTTTTATTTTCAGTATTTTAATGGTGACTTTATTTCTGATTTAATTTTATACTTTTGTAGTACGATAACTGTCTAAAGAAATTTTATCGTCATCATAATGTTGAAGTGTTGTCATATTTAGCAAGAGCTTATTATTTAAGTGGAAAACTTCATCAATGTCGTCATGTTCTCATCAAGGTAATCACATGTCTGTCACTGCAAGCATCTTAGCATCTCAGAAAAAAATGAATAATATTTTTCCTTCGAGTTTTTAAATGGTTTTTCTAAAGTTTCATGTACATGAAATAAAATTTGATCTGTGCATACACACTTAATTCATACAAATTTATGAATAGATTTACCCATGAAAAAAATTTATTTAAATATTTAATTTAATTTACTCAAATACTTAATAAACAATTGTTTGTCAAAGGAAAACATGTTGAATGTTGCAAGGGCTCGCCAGTGCTCTCATTCAAACTTAAGAAAACTCGTCTCACATGATAATTTCAAAATGATATATGCTGTAATGCTGCACTGCAAATTCTTTTATTTGAAGCTCTGTTTTTGCAGGCATATAACTGTATGTATTGGGTCATTTTGTTTTCTCATACCATTCAAAAGCGAGGCTACTATTTGCATCCAATGCGTGCCTATTTTTATTTCAGGCTCGACATATTGCTCCCAATGATACCGTTTTGCTGTTTAATGCGTCACTTGTGCAACAAAAACTGGCTACAGTGATTTTAAAAGCCGAGAAAAGTTCATTGAAAGTTGTTTTATCTGCTGTTGGTGAACTTGAAAATGCTCAAAGGTACAAAAATCCTATAAACTAATAAAAAGTACATTGAAATAGCGGAATAACCGCTCTCTGATTGTAGTTTGTTTTACTTCTGTCACTATAATTTGTTTTACTATTATCACTGTGGTTTAATCATCGTTCATAGTTGCAAACAATGATGTTAGAAATGACGTTTATAACGTAGGTCTTTTCAATGGTTAAGTCATCACGGTGATCGTATGAAGTATGATCTCGCTTGGGCTCAAAGCGAGGCTAGGCAATGTCAGGATTTTTTAAGTCAGGCGCAGTATCACGTTATGAGAGCGAGAAAAATTGACGAAGAACAACAAGAAATAAGGCGTAAACAAGAGGAAGAAAAGGAATTATTGAGGAAAAAAAAAGGAAGAAGAAGGGGTTAAAAAAGATTTAATTATTACTTTCGTGAACTGATAAAAAGATTTGCACAGTTAAATAGAATAAACAGACTCATTTTTTGATAACATTTTATCTTTTTTTAATCAGCGCCTAAAGAAAGAAGAAAATGAAAAACAACAAAAGGAAATGCTTGAAAAACGAGCGAATTTCCGTGAGGCTACAAAAAATTTGTTGGTGTTTATGCAAGAAGATATCGAAGAGAAAAAACCAAAGAAAAAAGTAATAGGACTTATTTATCTTCATTTGATGTATTGTTGACATTTTTTTACATTCGTGCTATTAATCATTGGTGTTAGTTGCGTTCTATACTTCCCTTAGAAAGGAAGGGAAACTGGTGAAATTTATTCAAGTGGAAGTGCTAGTGAGACAGAACATGTCACAAAGAAAGAAACAAAGAAAAAGTATGCTATAATTTGTATAGTGTGTTTTTTATTTTACTTTATTCTAATGAAATACATTTAACTGTACATATGACTTATTGTACCAATAAACATAACATTACTGTATACATCATGGTACCTTACTGTATACATCATGGTACCTTACTGTATACATCATGGTACCTTACTGTGTACATCATGGTACCTAACTGTTTGCATCATGGTACCTTACTGTATACATCATGGTACCATACTGTAAACATCATGGTACCTTACTGTAAACATCATGGTACCTTACTGTAAACATCATGGTAACTTACTGTATACATCATGGTACCTTACTGTATACATCATGGTACGTTACTGTGTACATCATGGTACCTTACTGTTCGCATCATGGTACCTTACTGTTCGCATCATGGTAACTTACTGTAAACATCATGGTATCTTACTGTATACATCATGGTAAATTACTGTATACATCATGGTACCTTACTGCATACATCATGGTACCTTACTGTAAACATCATGGTAACTTACTGTATACATCATGATACCTTACTGTATACGTCATGGTACCTTACTGTGTACATCATGGTACCTTACTGTAAACATCATGGTACCTTACTGTTTGCATCATGCTACTTTACTGTTTGCATCATGGTACCTTACTGTTTGCATCATGGTAACTTACTGTAAACATCATGGTATCTTACTGTATACATCATGGTAAATTACTGTATACATCATGGTACCTTACTGTATACATCATGGTACCTTACTGTATACATCATGATAATTTACTGTAAACATCATGGTAACTTACTGTATACATCATGGTAAATTACTGTATACATCATGCTACCTTACTGAATGTAACAATAGTAGTTATCATGAGGTCACTAATACGCTCTCTTGTTTTGTTTTTAGGAGGAAAAAACAAAATGATGCACTTTTGCATAAGCCAGTACAAAGATGAAAAAATTATTTATTTATTTTTTAAAACAACACTAATGCGAAACAGATAAATTTTAAAAAGAAGTTGTTATTTTTCCTTTAAAATATATTCATTATTGATTTGCAAATTCTCATTCATTGATTAACTAATTTGATTGGTTGAGCTTATATCAGTTTGCACAGACAATGCAAACACAGCTAAAGAGCAATGAGTGCAGTAAATTTCATTATAAAATAAAAACAATGAAACATGTGAGCTGATTGGTCTAGAGCTGTGTTTGCATTAGTCTGTGTCAAACAATCTGAGATCAACCAATCAAATCAATCAATCAATCATCAATCAAAGAGAATTTGCAAATCAATCATGAATACACATTAGATGAATATTAAAATGATTTGTTTGTTTCACTATTGTTATTCCTGCATTCTTGTTAAAAGATGTTTTTTGTGTTCGAACTGGCTTATACAAACCTTGGAGAGGTTTGTCTTCGGTCTCAGACTTGCACTGATCTGTTCTCTAGTTCTCCCAAAGGTCTCCTCAATTTGCATAAACCTGTGCAAACATAGTAAACATCTTTTAATTCTTAATTGTTTTTATTTTATAAATGTATATATAAACAAGACCATTTTAGCTACAAAGATTCATACTCTAATTATGCATAATGCAATCTGCATTTGCACACAAAGAAAAACTTTTGGGGATTAATCAACATTAATTTTGAAGTGCATTGCTTATGAATGAGGGATTGGCATAACAAATCCTTGATTGACTATTTTTGCTATTTTGTATATAAATTTGCCCAATTTTACTAAAATTTCAGACAAACTTCCTCAATACTCTCCTGAATCACATGATAAAACTAGAAATGAGCATTTTAGAAATTTTCAATAACCTGTTTTCACTTTTGACAGGAAGAGTCAAGGATGATACTGTTTTTTGCTGTTGAATAACAACGACCAAAGGAAATGCTAAACTCGCATTTCCACAAACATCAACAAGCACAGCCTAAGACAAATACGAAACACAATAACTTAATGACAATGTTAAATTACTGCTATAAATATAATGTTCACGTCTAACAAAACTTAATTGAATACCTCGCTAAGGTTGAAATATACAGGATTTGTAAAGACATAAATATTTTTCTTGCGAATTGAGACTGCACCTTTGTATTTCTCTCCCAAATTGCCGTACATATAATCAACAACAAATTGGAGTGATACGTTGACATTTGCAAGTATCAAAATAATAATGAGGAAAAACATATACAAGTAAGAGTTAATACTATTTGCATTTTATTTAAGAAGTAAATTTTATTTATCACAATTGTATTAAAGTTTCTCTAGCTGCGCTAAACTCTGTTTGTTTATTGGAAAAAATTCGTTGGCAATCTTGTTGGAAAAACTCGCTATTTGTTTTTAAAGACTATTGAGGAAAAACGTATACAGGTAAGAATTAAATACAATTTGTATTTTATTTACGAAGTAAACTTCATATAAGAAAGAAAATCGTTTGTAAGTTATTTCATGAAAAAAATTTATAAATGATCACACGGTATAGAAATAGATTACGGAATCAGTTAAAAGATATTTGTATCATGATGACAATTTGTTTGGAAGTGGGAATACATTATAAAGTCTTATTGCAAAAACGTTTATCAATTACCTACAGAAATTTTAAAATAGTTGCAAAAAGAATTTATTTTCAACGTAAAACGACATAAAAATGATATCAAAGAAATTAAAGATCTCGATAAAGTATTAAATATTTTTATTCGTATAATCCAAAAAATCAGATTAATGAGGGTAAGTTAATAAAAAAATCAAAAAACAAAAGCTATTTTTATATTAATGTTTATTCTTTTGGGAGGAAAAAGTATGACTTATTTTGAAAAGAATAGAGTTATATTTACAGAACTCTGCGATACTAAATTTCAGAACTGTGAAAGGTGTAATTATTGTGTAAAATTCGAAAGTTAACCTTGGCAAAACTAATGCTGGATTATATCGAAGCTGATTGTTTTGATTTTATTCGTGGAAAGATAGAAAAAGGCTATTTTCGAATTTAAGTTAAAACCTTATTAAAAAAATTGAAAATTGGAAAAATGGATTGTACTTCATTAAATTCCGAAGGGCTATTGGATAAAGTGTATACTCATTTAAAAAACGATGGTGATAATGATACTGAAGATGAAGAACAACATGATAATGACATAACTGATTTAAATAAAAAGAAAGGCAAGAAAGGACAAAGAATAAGTGGCAAAAAATTATGAAACGAATAAAAATAACTTACTAACATTTTTTTATTTGTTATTAGTAATTTTTTGGAAAGTATATGATGGAAAAACCTTATATCAAAAATCATTTGCTGTAATAGAACAAAATGGATATAATTTTTGTAGTGTTAACATATTGGTCGACATAATTGTAATTGTAAGTATAATCAAAACAAACCTAGAGTCGATATGAAGTCGAACTATACAACGTATATAAATATATATGCTATTAAAAATCAATCGTTTCATATTAAATGCTTTTTTATTTTCTATTGCTTTACTTTTTATTGTTTTATTAGTAATTTTTTACAGATAAAGTGACAGAAAAACCCATGAAACAAATAAATATAAATTAATATAAATTAATAATGTAGATTATACGACAAAAAAAAATTTTACATTTTTTCCCTTCGTGTTATCTCCAAAAAATTGGTTATATTGATTATATTGTAATTTTTTGAAGATTACATAACATCTTTTGTTTTTTTAAATAATTGAATTTTATTAAAAAAAAATTTCTGTTTTTAGACCGTTGATATGGATTTTTCTATTTTATTTATTTAAACATTTGCTATTTTTCTGAACGAATATCTGGGCATCCTTTATTATACACATTTTGTATGCAGCTTTTAATAAAATTGAAAAGAGCACCAAAAATGAAATTGATAAAATTAGGCCAACTGTCAAAGATTTAGAACATTCAAATTATTTTTATTTTTATTCAAATGTTGAAATATAGATATAATTACATTTTGTTGAAAAATTATATGGGAAATTGGGATTTATATGTTGTTGGGATTATGAAAACACTGAACATATTTATTTAATTTAAAATTATTGGGTGTGCAACAAAAAAACTTATTATTATTTGATGAAAATTTTTGTTGTAGTTATAGTTATTTTAATTTCCATAAAAGGACGAATATTATGTTATATGATCATTTTAAAATTTGTTTGCATGATTTTTATGTTGTAAAAAAAGATATATTTTTCATTTAGGTTTAAGGTGTAGGAGTTTTTATAGATTTTTTTTGAATATGTTAAAGATGTAAAAAGTTGCATATCATGTAAAGAATTTTTCGATACATTTGATAAAATTAACTTGAGTAATGTAAATAAAGATGTAATTTATAGATTTCTAATAGAGAATTAAATATATATTGATTATGCACGTCACATATTGTCATGTAAAAATATTGTAATATATTGTTACATGATTTTATATTTTTATTAGTTGTAATATAATGTAAAAAAAGAAAAACAAGTAATTTAGTAGTTCTATATGCTCGAAAATTTAAATTTAATATTTAATAAAGACCCTATTTTTCATTGTTCGAATTGTAATGATATTTTATTTTTTTAAAAAAAATGGATTTGATTGATATAGTTTATTTTTTCAAATTGTAGAGATAAATAGTGGAATTAATTAAATAGAAAATTTCTATTTTTTCTATTTTCATTCATCATTGTCTTTAAATATCTACTACCCTTTTGTTTCATTTTTTTATCGATCCTCTTATGCAATAATTTTTTCTAATTCTTTTTCTTTTTCTCTTATACATTTTTTTATTTTTATTGTTATAAAAGAATAAATAAATAAAATAAATAGTAAGCAAATTCAATAAATATATGCATGAAAATCGATATCTGTTTATTTATGCAGAAGTAGTACAATTGTGCTAGTATATATATATTAATAGATTTTCTTGAAGAAAAAGATTTTTAAATTTTTAAATAGTATATTTTAAAATTGAAATTATTTACAAAAAATGGGAAGACATCAAAG